TGGCTAGAGGACAACAGATGCCTGGAAACTTTAATTTCTTTTTATTAAGATATTACATTTCTGTAATACTTGATAGCTAAAAATCACCCTATAAAATAGAAGTAGGTGTGTGCCGAACTTGTGTGTGAATTATTTTCAGTTCACACACATTGTTATCACAAGCTCTGTGCCAGAAACCATTTTCCTGCTGGCATTTTTTGTTTTCTTCTGATGTGAAAAGAATTCTGATAGCACCAATTAACAGTTTATTTAAAGGCATAAGCTTTAATAAAGTAGAGCTCACTACCTCAGTTGCACAGAGTGGCTAAACTGCAATAGTATTTCAATTGAGATGAAGTTACAGGAGAAGGAAGAGGGGTTAGATATGTAGATACAGGTATTTGTAAGACAGATTACAGGTACCTTATGAAATAACAGCTATAATATGTTAAAAAAAAACATTGGGTTTGTTGAGACCTAGCTCTTTTTTAAATACTGTATATGCAAGTTCAGCAAACTTTCACTCAGTGCTGTTAAAATTCTTCTTTATTTTTTTCCAAAATGGTTGCTTTGATATTTCCTTAGCCTCTTTGTCCTGTTATTTCATGTTGTTCATGAGAATCTTCCTTAGGTTGGTTGTTGACTATTTGCAGATTCTCACTTAATGCCTGAAAAAGAACAGTGCCATTGTCCAATATAGGTGCTACGGCTTATTAATAATGCATTTGAATAGTTGGAGCTGTAAGCTATAGGTGACATCCAATTTTGTTCTGTCATTTTGCTTTTGTGGTCTGACTTTTAGTAAGTAGTCTTTGGAAATCAATCTGGTTCTATTAATTTGTCTTTTGATCTCATTGAGTGCATAGCTCAATCTCTTGAATGCCTGTTTCCTAACTAATTCTAATTAATTAATGTTAAAACTAATTCCATTAGTTGAGCCTCTCTGTGAAATGAATCAGAACAAATATAGTGGTAGTTGAAAGTCTCTCTATAAACAATGGTTTGGGCTGTATGTTCTGGGTGAAAGCTAGAAACGTATAACTACATATGACAATCTCAGAATTTCCTGTATAATGTGTTTATATGTCAACTGGGTTGTTCTACCATGGATTCAACAAACTGGATTTGTTCTATAGATAGATCAAGGCTAAGACTGAAAGCTCTTAAGGTCATGTTAAAATTTGATGAGAGATTCATTTAGTGGGTCCTGGTAATGTTTGTTGTCAGTCAAGACCTGTTTTATTGAATTGACTTCTTCACTCCATGATTATCCATCATGACTGTTCACTCCTTTCACCTTTTGCTGTATATAAGATGGCTGTCAAGGTTGTAACAAGATATCAATCAATCAAGTCTTTATTACGGTCATGACCAGATTAAAAATTAAAACATGAAAATAAAACAAAACAGAACAAGATATGGTCATAGATTACAGTTTGTGGTGAGATCATCAATGGCCAGCCTAATTTTATAGACAAAACAGCAGAATTTAGCTTTGCACAAGAAACTGTATCATACTGATCAGACAGTAATAGCTGTACATAAAAAAGATAAAAATTTTCCAGATATTTTACCAGACATGGTTATACAAAATGAGTCCATGAGTCCTTAGAGGGTACAGCATAAGATGGACATGAGTTGAGGTTTCAATGGGCTTCTTATCCACAGGGGCACAATCTCAATTCTATGCAATTTTTTTAATCAATCCTCCAGAACTGCTATGGGGAAAGTATTACAATGTGCTAGAGTTAATACCCTTCAAAATTTAGAAGCAGCTATATAATATAAATGTCTTGTTTGTTTATGGGGGTGTCTGACTACTCAAGCAAATATTCTTGTTGGAGCAGACAGGTCCTGTTGGACTTTCTGGTCTTTAATGCACTTAGACTTAGAATAACTTTATTGTCACTTTAAATATACATGAATTGGCATACATTATAATGAAATTTTGTAGCTTACAGCTCTCAAAGGGTCACCACTTCCAATATACTCTACATAAACATGACAAAACAAACAAACAAATAAAATATGTATATATACACACACACACGCATTACATATTACACAGAGAAACAACACAGTCTAGTTCGGATATATATGTAGTGAGAAAAACGAATATTTGCAAGTTTACCAGATGGATGGGATAGGGAACAAAGCTGTTACAGAATTGGGTAGTCCTGCTAGAAATACTTTGAAACCTCCTTCCAGAGTATGTGGGCTCTCTAACAATGCTTTGAGCTTTAAGCACATAGCGCTTATAAGCAGTATCCTGAATCATGGGAAGTGAGTTTCTTATAAACTTCTCGGCTGTCCTTACCACTCTCTGTTTGGACTTTCTATCTGAGGCACTGCTATCACCAAACCAAACAGTGATGCAATTTGTTAAAACCCTCTCAATGGTGCCTCTGTAAAAAGTGGCCAGGACAGAAGGAGAAAGATGTGCTTTCCTCATCCAACACAGGAATGCACACTTCACTAAGGATGACATGTGGAGAGACCAATTCAGATTGTTATCTGCACCCCCAGATACTTAATAATGTTGACTACCTCTACAGCTGCATCCTTGATAATGAGTGCATGCTCATAGCCAATCACTAGGAACATCTCCTTGGCCAAGATATTGGAGGCTTTTTTTGGCCTACCCCATATTGATTTATAATTATCATCCATAAGGAAATAGCTGTGGGAAAGAATATTTTAGCCAATGTGCTATTATGCAACTGTTTCAACCTTAGACAACCCTGTTTACCACCTTGTATTATGTTAAGAATGCAGCAAGTTAACCCTTAGAAATTTGTTTTAAACCCTTTTGAGAAGGTTAAAGAAGGAATAAGGTACCTAACTGGGCACTGGAAGGCAATTGTGCAGAAGCCTGAGCTGTGAAAACAACTTCAATAGTTCTGGTATATATTGTGCTCCTCTTATAAAATAGAAGGATTGGATTGTGGCCACTGCTTCTTGAGCATTTTGTATGGCATAGCTTTGATGTGCACTGTGTTTAGATATATTATACTGCAACACTGTGTCTTGGATATCTCATTCAAAATATGAGTGTTTTGGAAGAGTAGTTTTTACCTATTCCAACTTTACAGTTCTACTAGGTGTACAGCACTTCCTAATTTGAAAAAGTTCAGAAGAAAGAACTCCCTCATGATGGATCTGAAGTCTGGGAAACCAGGCCGACTGGTTTACATACATTAGTTCAAATAATGCCACGCAGAAAAATGGTCCTGCATTCTTTTTGACCAGTTCCTATTCAGTATTATAGCTGGTATGTGCTTTTAGTAGGAAATTAGATAACCTGTGACCTATTGAGTCATTGTTTTAGAAATATTTCCTTATTTTATTTAAACAAAGAAACATCAGGAATCTTCCTTTCCTTTCCTTTCCTTTCCTTTCCTTTCCTTTCCTTTCCTCTCCTCTCCTCTCCTCTCCTCTCCTTTACCTTTCCTTTCCTTTCCTCCTCCCCATCTCTTCTGAATCCTTGCTGGCTTTCCCAATTTCTCTGCATCTGTGAAGCTTGCAGGAAGAAAGTCAATGGGAAAACCAGCAAGAAATTGCAAGTCCAGTGCCAGGTAAGGTGGCTGCTGCTGGGTAAGGGAAGGTGTGAGGTGTGTGTGGCTACAGGTCAGGAACTGTGTGTGAGAGAGAGGTGTCATGTGGCTGGGAAAGATGTATGGGTGTGCACCAGAGATGATATGTATGTAGGGGAGGGCACACAGGTGGACTACATATTGAATAGGGTGCACAGTGAGGCAGCGCCACAGCACAGGTTAAGAAGTGTGTGTTGGTCATGGAGATTTGTAAGAAGAACTGCACAGACCAAATAGTCTGTGGGAAGGTGGCAAAGGTGAAGAAGAATGCATGGGGGCTACAGGGGTAGCTGACATTGCCAAATTTCATTCCTTCAGGAGTCCTGAGTCCTGGATTTTGGACCCATTTTGTAAGTTAGCCCATTTGTGGTACCTTGGTTGTTGTCCCATGAGGCACCATTTCACCCAGTTAAAGGTCATGACAATGAGAGTTTTAGCAGTATATAGATAGAGGAGACGATACCAGGATATAGACAAACAAGATGAAGTTTGTAAGGATTACACAAAGGATTCTCCAATTTGGCTCTCTTCAATAGAGTTTTACACCGTCATGGACTCCATTTGGATTTTTTAAAATTACCCTCCTGGTGGATGCCTCTGGATCGACTATAATTCTCATTGTGCTAAATGAAATAGCAATGGCCATATAAACTGGAGATAATGGGAATTGCAACCCAACGTATCTGGAGATTGGAAAGACTGCGCTAGTGGGGTCTGGAATAAAATAAGTAGCAGTGTAAATAAATCTAGCCAACTTTGTATTCTTTTAATATCAGAGAATTCTTAACTAGCATGCAAGTTATAATCTAGATAGGGTACAAGTTACTGGAAAGTAATAATGTGATAAAAAGCAATAATTTGAGTTCAGAAATGGAATGTGACACCGAGGCTGCTATTTACACTGAGTTACAGTGTAGTACATTAGTATGATGAATGCATGGGTAACTAAATGGGTTTCCTTTTCTATACATCTATTTTACACCCACTGTTCACAGATGTCCCTCTCTCTTTTTCATTTAATTCCCCCTATTAAACAAAAATTAGATATAAAGTGGAGCATGTTCCACAGGCTTTATTTTCACTCACCGATTTCTGGATAGAAAAAGCTCTTCGGTGCCTAACTTTTTCATAGGCAGAGTTCACATCAGACTTCCTCAAAGTTAGTTTTTAATTGTTTATCTAAGATTTTAATTCAGGAATGTAATGCATATAAATGTAAAGGTAGGCACCTAAAACAGTACTGTACATATGATCCAGGCTATCTACGTTGTCTCATCTATGTTGCCATTTTTGACTCTTACTGTGTTTTGGAAATAACTTTTTTGGGAAGAAACTCTTAGTGGTAGACTAAGGGCAGGCAATGTATGGAAGACTACTTTCAATTAATACTGGATTTGGTTATTGCTGACGTTTTTATTATTTTTACAGTGTTCTAAATCGCACTCCTGCAAATTTGATTCAGGAAATAATTTTAGTGGATGATTTCAGCTTGGATCGTAAGTATTACTTTTTTCCCCTTTGTGTTATATTATGTTTATTCTCCTCCCTCCCTCCCTCCTCCCTCCCTTCCTGATGTTTCCATTCATTTTTTATTTTGGGGAATAAAAAGCTAATTGGGGAAGAAGTAATTTTTTCTTGCTTGGAGGGGGGAGGAGAACAGCTGTGTAAGGAAAAGAAAAAAAGAGAAAAAATGGCATTTTTCCAAACCTTTTCAGGGAGACAATCCTAACCATAAAGTTCGGCTGTTCTATTAGATTTCATTAACTATCAATTGAGGGCCATAATCATAAGGATAGCAAGTAGCGCGCACAGCTAGAATTCTCAATTACATAAGCTTAACGCAAAGAAGATAACACATACTATATTGTGCTTCTTGTAGATGAGAGCTGTTCTTGCTGAGGTTTTTATAGAGCAGAATTATCCCAGAGCAATAAAGGAGAATATACTATTGCAAAATTCATTATCCTTCTACCAGGAACCTTGAGCAAGAGCTTTACTCCCTTTACTCCCGCATTGCAGATGGACTTTTTAGTGGTTTTCTCTTAAATATTAGAATATGTGGCTAAAATAATTTAGAACCTCAGCTAATGAAAGCTATTTTGAGAACCAAATTAAGTGAGACATTGAGGATATCATTAACAATTGCATCGGTAATTTAAAAAAAAAATCAAATAGTGGGGTAGGGGACTTGATTATTTTTGTTAGAATCCTAGGGTCAGCTTATCCCAATCCCCTCATGCTAAAGAATATTAACTCATTACACCCTTGTTGTATTTTTGGATGAAAATCACCCATCACCAAACCCTTAATAATTGTAAAATCAAAAGTTGTATTGTGAGCTTTTCTTCTTATTGCAAAAATATGTTAGTAGAAAAGGCCATTCTCTTTGGGAATTCCTTGGAATTCTATGGATGGAATGGAATAAATGCTCCGTTTCCATACAGTAATCTCTCAACAAATTCAGATGGGACTGGGGAATGGCTTGCCCTATTATTAAATATCTCTGTGCCTGATTTAAAAACACATTGTGGTATGGTTGCTGTGTGTAAGACTTGGGAGCTCACTGATCTAAAGAACTATGGAAAGTTAAGGCTACCACTGTGAAAAGGGTTATGAGCTTAAGAATTCTTTTATGTATATGGGAAGAAAGTAATACTTTGGATGTTAACATAGATTCAAGAAATGAGTTCTTCATTAATCATTGAAATGCCTTTAAATCATAGAAAGGAGAAGATGGGGCATTATGCTTGATATGGTTTAGGTTTAATACAATCTTAAAGAGATTGGACTTTGTTATACATATTTTTTCTTTTTTCCTCTTTTCTGTTTTTTTTCAGCTTATTGTCATTCTTTCTTATTGTATTATCACCATGATGTGTTTTATTTCCATCTGTTAATTTCATAAATTTAAAATGAAATTAAATCAAAAGAGATGCATAGCCAATATTTTGAACTAGGCATGGTACGTCATCAGTGGTTGAGAGCCAGAGAAGGTTAACAACTTGGGATTAAAAGGTAAAATCAAAAGAATCCAGTTTAAAAATATGTGTACTTTCCCAAGTGTGTCTAGATGAAGAACAGTTTATTATATAATGTAAATACAAAATAGATAAATTCTATTCACGTGGTTCAATTCCTTTATAAATCATGAGGAAGCAATAAGTAGATAGCTCATGCATCACTCCTGAATTCAGCTGTAAAGACAACATAGCAGAACAAGAGACTTGGCAGCTAAAACATCTTGCACATCTAATCCATTTTTCTTTCTCATGTGAAAAGTCAGTGCAAGAATCTATTTGTTCTCTCTCACTTTGGCCTTCACATTTTAAATCACATTTCTTTAAACTTCTCTAGGTGTATGGTAAAACAAGGTATTTTTCCAGAAGCTTGAAGAACTCTTGTCATTTCCCTTGGTTATTGTAGAATGTCAGAAAACATCTTATCAAATTTCTTATCTCAAATCTTAATTTTCTTGTTGCATGTTGCTGCAAAAAGGATGTCTCATTATTTCAGATATACAGTAGTCACTGGATAAATGATGTAAAAAGAAAAAGAATTGTTAAAACATCAAGGAAGTGGGATTTCAGCTGAATACTATTGACAACAACATACTCATGGGAACATTTCAGACAGTGGGAGCTGTATAAATGGAATTGGTCCAGGAGATAGTTGCCAAGTAAAGTACTTGGCTGGTGGCCTTTTTACTGTTGCAGGATATCAAGGTTGTGCAGACATGATATAAAAAGTTTTACAAAATATGGAAAAGAACAAAACATGTACCTATGGCTAGTGCTGGGGAATTATGAGAGATCAACATGAGGAAACAAGATTATTCTGGTATTTCTTGATCCAGAGACAAACCTACACAATGCTGAATTCATTCTCTGTGATAGTGAGTCTGTCTCATCTCCAATATCCTAGCTTCATAGATTAATTCAGACTGAGCCAAATGTAAAAGAGACAAAAGAACAACCCAGTGAATTTGGAATGAAACTGAAAAAGCTAATCCATGGTGTTGAGAGTCATCTTCCAAGTCTATTGGGTACATTGTGTATTGGGATGTAGAATATTACATCAGATTACTCAGTAATCACTTACCTGATGCTTCATTGTCCTTTACAAATAAAGACTTCAAAGCTCATTTCTTGGAAAAAAAGGAAAAATAAAATAAACTGATATCTCTCTCTTCCATTTCCCAAGAACTTTTTATGTGCATTTATCTATCTCTAGCAAAAACATGTAAATCCGAGCAGTTCTTATAAAGAGTTAGCTGTCAAATTGCCAAGCAAAGTTTCTTCTTTTGTTGCTTAAAAAAATACCACTATTGCTAGCTGTGATGGTGAAAAGAGAGCAAGCTATCTTTTTATATTGTTATGGGTCGTAGTATCTGCGCTGGTTCTCACACTGTGTTCTAGTTCACACTTTCTTCCAGCTTTCTATATTTTCTTCTTGTTGTTTTCAGTTCCTTTCCCAAGTAATTAAAGCCTTGTTAATTAGTACTGGCCATGCAATCACAGACAGATTTTGTTCTTTAATTTGTTCCTATTTATCAGCTCTAAATGGTGGTCGATTAAGGTTTAGTCTGTATTATTTTCTCATCAGTTACATCATCCTCAAAGACAATGTCCTGGAACTGAAATATGTATGGAAAACATGTTTTCGTAGTCTCCAAAAGCTATAGATCAGGGGTTTCCAACCTTGGCAACTTTAAGACTTGTGGACTTCAACTCCCAGAATTCCTCAGCCAGCTTTGCTATAGATAGTTACTGGCTAGCATATCCTGCTGTTCTTTTGGTGGCTCTTCTCTTGTTCAGTCCAACTTGATGATTTTTCAGTCTGGAGGAATTTCAAGAGGTGGAATGACATATTATATGGGGAAAACACCGAAGTCCTACCACAGGGATCTTGCTGACAATTACATAGGGCAACATAAGGGATTGGGGCAGGAACTTAAATATTTCCTCCATCTCTTGATTTTCTCCAGCCCTTCTTTCTTCCTTCTTTTTCAGAATGCTTCTTTTTAAGCTTGGAGATGACTGGAGTAAAAAAAAGTGGGGGGGGGGAGGGGGTTAAGGATAAATCAGCTCATTACTTTTTCATTACAAATGACCTCTATGCATTAAGGAATTGGTGTGCTTTGTAAAACATATATTTTTAAAAAGCAACATGATTTTTTTATTCTAAACTAGAAGTGGGCAATTGTTTTGTGGCTAAAGACTACATTTTGCATTTTTTAAAGAGGCCACGGGCTGCAATCTGGTGGGAGCAACTTGTATTTGAGGTCTGCCTATATTATGACTGACAAAGTATTAATAAAATGGTAGGAAATTGTGTCATCGGTTTTAAACAGTCAGATAAGCTCTAAGTCTTCAGTAAAGAGAATTTAGGATCACCTTTAGCCCTGAGATGGCAAGCTGCCCACTGCAGATCAAAGATGTCGGGCATCAAACAATGCATAATAGTGTCATCTAGTAGCTATCATCTTACATAACATTATAAGCTTTGCAAGGCACTCACAATCAAGGCTGAATTGTATCAGAGAAAATATGAAAGAAGTATTAATTTTTTCCCCTTTCAGTTGATTTTGCTCTGAATCTTTCATCTTTTTTTCCAGGTTCATTTAATGAACTAGACATTTCTTATCTTACAAAGTATAACCCCAGAGGAATAAAAACACCATAATGAAAGGGAAATGCGGGTGAAAATTGGTTGGCAAGGGAAAGATTTAAGCACCTTCTTCTCATTCACTCTTACTGATAATAGCACTTTATGATGGCTGTTAGGCATCTTTTTATACTTACACACAGATGTAATATAATATATGGAGTCTGCTTTACTGTCTCAAAGAGATTGGTCACGAAGAAAGGAGATGACAGGTTAAATGAAACCTATCAGAGATACTTTAAGCAACAGAATTATTTGCTCTGGAATCACCAGATTGATTGATATCATAACTGAAAATAAAATGTTGACCTGTACTGAGAACATGGGACAAATTAATTACAGCTTTCTATGTGTGCCAAATGAACCAGGCATTTCAGCCAACTGGATTTCCTCCCCTCCCACCCCACTTTTCTTTAGCTGAAGACTGCCAGCTACTTACCAGAATCCCAAAAGTCAAGTGTCTACGCAATGGACGTCGAGAAGGTGAGTATGACAAAGTTTGCAGAAAGCATTCACTGTTATGAGGCCCTAATGGAAATATAAATTAAGACTTGTGGCAGAAAGAATATGGAATTATCTCTTCTGAACTGAGCATGCTCCTTTGTTAGAGTTTTAAAAAAAACTAGTTTTAAAAAAAACCTGGAGACGTTCAGATCATTGACTCTCATTGTCAGGCCAATAGGAAAGTCCAGATCAAAGGGGCTTTATAAAAGAGGGTTGAGATCTAGAGATTATACTCAGCTATACTGAAAAGGAGGTAATATGAATATTTCCAGAACATTTCCAGAACAGAGACCAACTATCATGAGCCTAAGCCACTTTCTACTGCCTGAATGGAGTTTTAATGTATTAACTCTCCTTCTCTTATAAATCTCAAGTTGCAACCTGAGTACAAAACTCCAGCAACATTTTTAGTGAAAACAAGAAATAGAACTGATAGTTTTCAGCATTGGGATTATAGTGTACTCCAAAATTTCATACAAGCTATCCTGGCATTTGTAAGCATGGTAACGTCCCAAAGCACTGCTGATTAATATTCCCAACCAATATTGCTAAACCAGAAAAATATGATAGAATAGCAAAGAATCATAGGGCTATAACCCAGGTAATTTTGCTAGATAACAACTGACATAATTGAAAGACAGATGACAGTTGGTTAGGAATATAATTTAGTTGTAGAGTAGACACTTGCTGCTCAGTAAAACTCTGACTCATCAATCTGTCTGGAATACAGATTGCTGTCTTATCTAGTAGAGCTGATTTAGAGTTAATATTATTTGAGTCAAATTATGCAGATGCAAAATATGGATAACAGGGACCAATTAGACCAGGAATTAAAGTATTCTCCTAAAGTTTTCCAAACGAGAATAAAAGAAGTAGAACCTGAGCACTTCAGAAAAATAACATTTTCTCGAGAAATCTTAACTAAATACCCAGATTCTCCTTCTACTTGAAGCAATTAACATTCCCCTTGATATCCTTCAAAGCTTCCCCAATCCTCATGAGTAGATTAGTGGGGGTTATATATAGGGAAGGAATTATTATAGAGCACTTCCTTTAGTAGAACATATCTTGTGAATAGAGACAGTTGGATTTCACCTTTATAAAACATGTCAGGTTGGTTAAAAAAGATGAGAAGAAAAGACTAGAAGATAAAAAAAACACAAGGAAATAATTTAAATGCAGAAAGGAAGTTATTATCAGTCAGGTTCTACCTAGGTTTAATAGAATTCAGTTGTCTTGGGAAATTCCTAGGCCTAGTGGAAAAGAAAACATTAAAGGAAATATAGAGAGAATGATGTGGAGGAACAAGATCTGAATGCAACATATAAGCAGAGGTCTTCAGAGGAAGGAGAAGGGAGATTTAGTAAGGTGTAGAGGAAGTAAGAAAGAGTGTTTCCTATGTGCTAAGGTCTTAGGTCTTTTGCATATGAAGAAAGATCTTCGGGTAGACATAAAAGGGTTAGGGTTAAACCCTGAGCTACAGATATTCTCCTTTATCAATTCTTTGGTGCATTTATTAAAATAAGTTGGTTTCTTTTCTCTTCATTTTCTTGCCTCCCCATTTCAGGTCTAATCCGCTCCCGAGTACGAGGTGCTGATACAGCAACAGCTGATATTCTCACCTTCCTGGATAGCCACTGTGAAGTGAACAATGAATGGTTGCAGCCAATGCTTCAGAGAGTAAGAGAGGTGAGCATGTTTTCCTTATCTCTGTCTAGTCCATGTTTTTTTGCTTTCAGTTGATCAGAGTCATCATGTCAGGTTCTTTGGCAGTTGGCTAAAACCAAAAGTGATTTTCTACCAAGCAAAGTTCTTTTTTTTAAAGCAAGATTCATTGAAATAAAAGGAATCACATTGCAAGAATTCCAGCTGTTAAACCATTTTCAATTTACAGCTGATATATCTTTCTATATATTAGGTCTTTCTGATTTTCTTTCCAGCAACCTTTGTTTTCTTTGTTCAATAAATATGTGGAAGCTTACTGTGAGCTGTTTATATAAAAGGATCCATAACTTTTATCAGTTTGGAATTGACTTTTACACCTAAAAGTGTTACAAACAGAAATGAGGCATTCTAATGTCTTTCTTCTCTTTGATGCATTCCTTATCTTGCTGCAATTGTTGCTCTCACTATAGCAAGGTCCATGGCCTCAAACCTAGGAAGATAACCAACATGAGGTTTAATTTTCTATGTTGTAGAAGTTTTCATGGAAGGAAAACTGGAAAGCATGAACTCTTTTTTTTCATATATATCTGTTGACAGAAAGGCAGTAGTAATATATTGGAAAAGAAATTTTTTTAATCCTGCCTGGCATTTGGACAGAAGCCAAGTTCATGAAAGATGCAGGTTTTTGCTTCCATAGATGGAAGAAATAGGAAGTCATAAACAGAAAGCAAATGCCACTCCTTTCTAGCATTGATGATGTTACCATATTTGGTAATGAAACGTCTTCAAGAAAATAACCAAGCTCAGAGAGCACCAAAGATCCCACAAGTAGGAATTTGTTTTCCACTTGTTTGGTACTTTTTAACTGATAAATATACCTCACGGAAACAAAGATGAAGAGTGCTGAGAGCTGAAAGGCTGGTGGTACTGAAGCCTGGAGTGTGCTGGAGAAAGACCTGGTAAAGTTTTGAGTCTAGAACAGTGTTTCTCAACCTTGCCAACTTTAAGATGTGTGGACTTCAACTCCCAGAACCCCCCAATTTCTGGGAGCTGAAGACCACATATCTTAAAGTTGGCAAGGTTGAGAAACACGGATTGTTCTGTGCCACTTCACCTAAAGAAAATAGAAGATGTGAGACTGGGAAGTAGACAAAGTGGGACAACCAGGACAGCTGAATCGTTAATGAACTGATAAAAGCAAGCAGTGTTGGTTGAGAATGGATAGCTATTATGCAGGTAAAGAATATACAACCCAAGATAAAAGGGAAGTGTATTCCAAGTGACTCATGCATCTGGAATCTCCAAAAGATAGGCAGACAGGTCTCCTATAGTGTGAACTAGGAGGCTAAGAAAATACTGTTTAAAGAAATTGACAATGAAAAGTAAAAGTGGAGAATGTATGTTATTTGACCTCCATCTTCCAAGCTAAGAGAAATGCTGAAAACTCTGTACATAAATAAGTTTATAGAAAACTACCCAGAATGTAGATTAAGTTAGGTATAAGAACAGGATCAATATATAATATATTAAATAATCTTTTAAGTTTTACTATACACTAATTTATATCTCTGAAGCAATAAGTAGAATAAGGATGAAACCCATGTCTACTTGTTTCCCCTTTCTCTGCCTGAATTATCCAAAGTGAATCCATAATGGTGCTGTGTAGAGTGAACATGGAAAGAAGGAGTTAACCTTGAAGCAAAAGAGGAAAAAGAAGAATAAATGATACAGCTGAGTAGGCAGTTCTCATTCTGGATGTGCCAAGGGGTCAGGAAGAAGGTGTGATCTGCAGTAACAGAGATAGGTAGGCTGATCTTCCTGCCAGCTGTAATGCCTGCACTTTTTTTTTTTTTAAAGAACCTTCCTAGATATTTAACAAGGCCCAAGAGACAGATGGGAGGAATTGGTAGGGATGCAAATTGCAGATATGTTCAGCTTCGTGCCAAGAGGGGAAGAAGGTGAATTGTCTGAGATGGAGTTTTGAAAGCCCTCAGCTTAATAAATCCTCCCCCTCAGCAGCCCATAAATGTCTGATTTATATTTGTTCATAAAATCATGTTGCTGAATGGAGCAATAATAGTGACAACTACTCCTATACAAAAGGAGTTCCACAAGGCAGCTTTATGGTAGAGAAAAAGATTCCTCCAAAATGTCCTATCATTGTGTAGGAGGAGATGGCAGGATGAGAGGTGAAAGTCTTACTTTTATTGCAGGTAAGTGGAGGATAAGGATTGGTCTTGGATGTTTGTATGGTAAATTCAGTGTCAACCATTGTGAGTTCATCAGGTATGTCAATATACTGTTTTTTTAAAAGCCACTCATTCATCTCTTTAAGAAAATGCATACTTCTGTCAAGGATTTTGAACATTTTAAATTAAATTACCAGGATTTTTCTTTTTTGTTTTTGCTTTATAATGTTGGGAGCTAAGACAGAGATAAATTAATGGGTTAGTCAAGTGCTACACTTAATCTTAGCTAAAAGACCAAGAAGTGATTAATGAGTTATATATATAGAGAGAGAGATCTCCAAACCTCTGCCTTTTGTCCTGTGTCCAGATCCCAGGGGAATGTCTGCACACAATCCTTACATTGAATAATTTCAAGTTATGTTTTTTTACACATATTTTTTCTTACAGATAATTATTAAGGCCATTATTTCTCAAGTTGGTCCTTATTGTACACCATATCAATTAGCAGTGAGATCTTTTGGAACTTGTCAGTACCTTCTTTTGCCCAAACAGTTCTAATGTTTAAAGGTTAACATCTGGCAATGTTACTGAAATTGAATCAGCCTAGAAAAATAGATAAATGCCTGCTTCTAGTCCTTTGCTCATCCCTTTGTTCATATAATCCCAAACTGAGCTATAAAAGATAACCATAATTGTTGTGAATCAATAAAAAGTAACTAGCCTAAATGCAAAGCAGGGTTTGAAAGCCTGCACACCTGATTGGTCCTTAAACAATGAATAAGGATTGGTCCATAACAAGTCCCTGATTGGTCAATATTAGGACACTTCTTATTGGGTATTAGTTGAACTTGTTGCACATATTATTGGTTAATAAGGTAGCAGCCAACCCTATAAAAGGGTTACTGCTGCCCATAGCCTTGCTCTGTTCTGTTCTATTTACTGTTATTAAAGAGTTGAAGTCACTGGTCAGATGTCTGGTCTCCATTATTCTCCAAACATAACACTGGCGACGAAGGTGGGATACGGAGACCGAAGAGCTGACTGATCTACAGAGCAACCAACAGAGCATGTGGTCGAACACGCACTATCAACGGCAACATGGCCAGCGGTGCCGTACCACCCGCTCCATTCGACCCAGAAACCGAAGACTGGGAGTCGTACATGGATAGGTTCCAGATGTTTCTGGAGACCAACAATTTGAAAGATGCAACAACCGGCAAAAAAAAGAGCTATATTTCTAACCCACTGCGGGCCTACCGTGTTTAAAATGGCAAAATCACTTGCCAAGCCAGCCGAAGTAAAAGAGATGGACTGGGATGTCCTCGAGCCTTTACTACGGGCCCACTACGCGCCCACCGTGCCAACCTTAGTCAGAAGACATGAATATTACCAGAGGAACCAGCGGAAAGGCAAAAGCCTTGCCAACTACGTCGCAGACCTCCGCAACCTTGGAGGCCTCTGCGGGTTCTCTGACTTAGAAGAAGCCCTCCGAGACCGCCTAGTTCTGGGCCTAGAAGACTGCACGATCCAGAGTAAAATCATGGCTAAGGGGGACATCAGCCTCACCGATGCCCTTAAAGAAGCCACTGCAGCGGAGGCAACCAAAAAGTCGGCAGCCCGAATGCGTCGCACCAGCGCACCGCCACGTCAACTCGCCAACGATACCTCGCCTCACTCAGAGAGACACCCGGTATCGACTCACCATGAAGACCTAGAATCCCCGTCAGAAAGCGATGAGGAAGAGGTCAACCGACTCCGAACGGAACGAGACCAGTCCACACAACGCTCATTTCGACCGTGTGCAGGATGTGGAGCTAATCACCCACGATCCGGCTGCAAATTCCTCGACGCACTCTGCCGCGTTTGCGGGAAAAGAGGTCACATCGCAAAGGTTTGCAGAAGCAAACAAAACTCCAAACCCCGACAGGCCGAATACCAGTCTTCAGGATTCTTCGGCACACCCCGAGACAAACTGAATCACCAATGGGGAAGCCACTCCTACAGAAACAAACCGTCCACCACTTCCACCAGGCATGAAGAAACCAGGCGGGAAGAGACCCACCAAACAATTACCATAGGCCACGCTACATCCCTTGATGCCGGGAAAATCAGAGTGAAGGTCGCTATCGAAAACAAACCTTGTGTAATGGAGGTGGACTCAGGATCATCCCTCTCGATGGTGTCCTGGAAGACGCTCCAACAGCTCATACCGACGATTCGACGCCAAGACCTCAACCCTCAAAGGGTTATACTCAAAGACTACCAGGGTAACCGAATTCCCGTTGTCGGGTCCCGCCGATTCCAGGTCTCTTTCAAGGACCGCACCGTCGCACTGCCACTGACTGTCGTGGACCGTGACCGGCCTAGTCTTTTAGGCCTGCAATGGTTCAGACAGCTCGGAATCACTGTAGCCGGAGTCCACCGGGCCGAGAGCAACGATTGGGAGGAAGCCCTCGTGCAAGAATTCCAAGACGTTTTCGCGAACGGACTAGGCAAGTACAAGGGGACCCCGATCTCATTTAACTTGAACCCTGAGGTAACACCCATCCGCCTTAAGCCGCGTCGGATACCGTTCGCCCTGAAACCTAAAATCGACAAACAACTCGATAAGCTAATAGCACAGGGCGTGCTGGAACCCACCGACCACGCCCGGTGGGAAACCCCAATAGTGACGCCTATCAAGCCTGATGGGTCACTGAGAATTTGCGGAGACTACCGGGCCACCCTAAACCACGCACTTCAGCAAAGTGCATATCCAGTGCCGGTAGTGCAACACCTGCTCCATTCCCTGGGCGGCGGGAAAGTTTTCGCTAAATTAGACCTAGCGCAGGCGTA